GAAACCCCATATGGCTTCATTTTACTGCCAGTAATTTGGTGTTTTTGAGGATTGCTTTGTGTTTTTCTCCTGCTCTCCATTCTGCAGTAGATATGAAACAAAAACGGAAAAAGACATAAACATTACTAAGATTGCCTGTGATTCATCAGGCTAACTCTGGTTGATAATATCATGGCTTGCCATTTTCTTTGTTTTGGCAGTGACATTTCAGTGTCGTCAGAGCACAAAAAAGTACTGGAGGCATAAAGTCGGTATCAGTAGTGTTTTATTTAAGGCTCACAGCCCGATTTTGTAACACAGCTGACATTTCAGATATCTGATGTGAGTTCAGAGAGCTTGGAGGTAAAGTGGAAACAGAAACAAAAAGGCTCCTTGAGATTATGTTTTTGGAAAACTAGACTTTTAAGGGAATTATTTCCATTTGAGCAGTCTACCTGTCAACTGGAAACGATTTGAATTTATTTTTATTTGATAGACGCAGTTTAACCAGAGAGCTTGAAACTGATGTGCTGCACAGAGTTTTATAGTTATTGCTAAATTTCAACTCTTATCCCCAGTTGGGATTTTACATGTGCAGTGGAATTAAAATATAAAGCTTTCAGCATCATAAAACCACAATACACTACAGACACAGAAATACAATAAAACACACATACCAAAAATACACCACTGCAGTTCGTTAATTTAGAGAACAATTGGCTCGTAATAGGTAAAAGATTTTATATGTGGAATTAATTTGATTTTGTGTTTCAAGAGATGACAGCCCTTTATGGAGGAAACTTATTGTCCATATGTAGCAGTTTACAATTGCTCCTCGGCTGTTGATACATTTGAAAACTAATTTGACAAAACATATTTATTAAATTTATTATTTTTGTCCATTATTTCCAGTACTTGATATAAGTATGTGAGTATGTGAAACAATGTCCCACACGGTGACTAAAGTGGACCAAAAAAAAGGTGCCAGTACCCTAACTCCACACAACCCTTACTCTAAACACAACATAACCCAAATACATACATGTTTTATCCTTTTTAACAAGGACAATTTCAATGCTTTTTTCTTTTTCTCTTTTTTCAGGGCAGACACTTTTTGAAACTCTGGCTTTTATGTAATGGCGGTGAAGAAAGCTGTGTTTGATGTCAATCACATTGTGCAAACATGGTTGAAGTGCAGGTTAACCTGTCTCCATCTTTGGTACGTTACGCCCAAGGGGGAAAACTGAGAGACACCACAAAGTATCACAAACTATGCAGATTTAGACAGAATATGATGAAAACTACCACAAAGAAAAGGACTTGGAAACTACTTATAACTGCTGGCTGTATTTAGTGTGGAGGTTGGGAAGAGTTGCATTAAAATAAAATATACTTTAACAGGGACGTGCACGGGGGGGGGGTCGCCCCCCCTCGTGGCCCAATTGTTGAAAAACGCGTGCTAAAGTGCCCTCTTGGGAGCCAAAACGCGTGCTAAAGTGCCCTCTTGGGAGCCAAAACACGTGCTAAAGTGCCCTCAAGTGCCCTCTTGG